CGAGTCTATTCGACGAGCCTTCGATCTGACGAAGCTAAACATACAGGCGAAACACATAATGCTCACATTATATAAGTAAATGTTCAAGTAAGTTGTCCTATATATTTCTTAATGTTACATATCTTTCCAGGAACAAATTTCACATAAAGTTTTCACAAAATATGGTAGAGTTTTATGTATATTTTTTGTTCTTTCGTGGATATGTCTTTACAACCAGTTGGTGTCAATAATTGCATGCAAACCACGTCGATGATAATCTTTCGCAGAATCCATTAATGTGCGAATTTGCAAACGAAAATGCGTAACGTTTTGAATAGCGAGAAGGCATGAATATGTTGTCGGCTGAATAAAAAGTACGGAGAAGTATAATTATTTTGTGTGTCATGTTCGAAGAGAAGCAGAATAAATCGCATCGATTGTTTCCGGTCATAAACGCCAGACGCTTAAACAAGCAGGAATGACTAGGTTTTACTTCCGGGAATGGACAAGTACAGAAAGATGACGCCACAGACAAAATCAATGCAGAACTGAAACGGCACGAACGGGTTGCGAATGAAATATGTCAATGAAGTTTTATTTTGATAATTTCGCTGTATAATTTCAATATATTGCTAATATAATAAAACCAACTTTTTTTTATTTATTTTTAATCTTGGATTGGGCGTCTTTTACATGCGACGGTTTAATAATATCTGTTAATTTCAGGGATCTTGACTAGAACGATACGCTCCTTTGGTTAGTATAGATGTAAGTCAAGGTATTTCGGAGGTCCCAAGTACGTACCCTAGTAGAACCTTTCGCTAGGTCTATTAAAAGTGTTGCGAAGCCATGTATGGTTGTTGTTTTCGTTATATGCCCTCTTATGCTGCTCGCTTCACAGGAAATCTATATCAAAATTAGCATGTTGGCGAAACAATACCAATTCTGATTGTTAGATTTATATAAAGTAGGTTGTATACCGGATACGTACAGGTAACACAGATACAATTTTAGTCTCCGAAGCAACAAAGCCGACTGACATTTGTTTGCACCCACTACATATGGCATTATAAATTATCGTGAAAGATATAAAATTAAAGCAGGAAAAATCAGCATCTTTTCGTGAAATTTGTTGATAGAAATATCGAATATTGACAATGACGATAGACAAATGGGACAGTTATGATGGAGAAATGTGACAACTATGATGGAAATATGTGACAATTATGCTAGGACAAATGTGACGGACAAAGAGGGTGCAATATTAATGGTGATGGTATTATATGAAAAAGATGATTAAGAAATAGGAGAAATGATGATGAATCAATGTAACATGTAACTGGAATCCGATAGCTGACGGAAGCGAACACTTGTGTGTCCTTAAGCAACAGCTGTTCGGGGCCTAGTCATTGCTGTGTATCCTGATAACTCGACAATCATTACACTTAGTATTACTGATCCTCCTATTCGTATCAAGGTGGGGTCAACTTCCATAGCAAATTAACATCAGTGTCGACCTTCGCGTAGACTTTGGTATGTGTGTGTGGCTTAAAATCCTACACAAAATGGCATTACCTATTTAATGACGAATCGGACCTCCTTGATTAGCACCTGTGTCATAATTAAAGTTTTTGAGTAATACAAAACATTTCCTCATTTGTACGAATGATAGAAGTGTAGTTGATGTTACATTTGTCATGCGCAGTGTACGCACACAATTATTTTGTTAACTGTTGGCAAAGGAGATAGTTTAGTACTGATTTAATTAGAAAAAAAGGTGAAATATATTTATCCAATAATTTTGCCTTATTCTAAATTTTGTACTGCTATTACAATGTTTCCCTTTATAGATTTGCATTAAAGGTTTTAGTGCATGCATCTCAATAAACAAGTTTTAATAAACTTGTAACTCCAAACATGTATACGCCATTTTGTTAGGATAGCCCGTCACTCTCTTTGGCGTTATACAAGGAGGTCCAATTTTACCGTAGAATGCAAAATAATAATTTCTTCAAATATTGCTCATATAGACATATCTGTTTATGGTAATAAAGAATCAAAGGCATTGAGATAGGGGCCCCAGTATTGACCTTCATCTCAAACTAAAGTCATAACTATGGGATATTTAGTGAGTTTTGTACTCGAAATACCTGATGAACACCTCACAAATTTCTCTGAACTTGATACAAAATTACGAAGTGTATCCCGTACGTATACTACATGTATATGATGCATGGTCGTGATCTACATGTAAGTGTGACACGATTTTGTGACCAGTCATCGCATTGAAGTGAATGCAGTTATAACTTCAATGGCGAATTGATTTCCATTAGTATGTTGAATCGAACACACATATAGAAACATTGACTGTTTGAGGAAAATGGTAGGCTATGTAATTAATTCCAGAATTTGTTGCAGGACAAAATTGGAAAGGAATTGTCTAAGTGTAACTGGCAAGCTAACAAAACAAAATTCCAGGACAGAATATATTTCTGAGAGTCATCTATGTTTATTTGTTGAACGCAATGCAATGTTGATCACTCCCAGCTAAATGAATTCCATTAATGTTAAGTAAAATACACAAAGTACCACATCGGCTACACATAATGACAAAATATGTATAACAGCACCAATATACAAAGCCAAACTATACCACGGCACCATACACAAGGACAAACTATACCACGGCATCCATACACAAGGACAAACTATACCACAGCATCCTTACACAAGGACAAACTATACCACGGCACCATACACAAGGACAAACTATACAACGGCATCCATACACAAGGACAAACTATACCACGGCATCAATACACAAGTACAAAATATGCCACAGCATCCATACACAAGGACAAACTATACCACGGCATCCATACACAAGGACATGCTATACCACGGCATCCTTACAAAAGGACAGGCTATACCACGGCATCCATACAAAAGGACAAAATTTACCACGACATCCATACACAAAGACAAACTATACCACGGCATCTGTACACAAGGACAAACTATACCACGGCATCCATACACGAGGACAGACTTTACCACGGCATCCATACACAAGGACAGGCTATACCACGGCTTCCATAAACAAGGACAAACTATACCACAGCATCCATACACAAGGACAAACTATACCACGGCATCCATACAGAAGGACAAACTATACCACGGCATCCATACAAAAGGACAGGCTATACCACGGTATCCATACACAAGGGCAAACTATATGACGGCATCCTAACACAAGGACAGGCTATACCACGGCATCCATACACAAGGACACACTATATCACGGCACCATACACAAGGACAAACTATACCACGGCATCTATACACTAGGACAAACTATACCACGGCATCCTTACACAAGGACAGGCTATACCACGGCATCCATACACAAGGACACACTATATCACGGCACCATACACAAGGACAAACTATACCACGGCATCAACCCACTATAGGACAGAAATCGAATTAAAGTCGACCGCAGAAAGTTGGAACAGGCGACATCACACACACACACACCCCTCACCCCCTCAAACCGCGGGTACACCGGAAGTGTATGCGATTCCAACATCGTATGTGGTACCCGCCATTCGGCCTGTCAAATTCATACAACCTGGTTGGCAACCAACGATAAAAACAAATAGAATATATCGACTTTAGGTAAAAATGCCATCCCCAATGAGATCGACTGTTATACATTGGGGTGGTATCTTTTTTACCGAAAGTAGATATAAACCCCTAAAACATGTCAAATTACTCTGAATACCTTAGTTTAGGTCCAAATATAGACGTAACAAATTATCAGGTCCGACCATGCAAGTTTACATCACACGGTAATGCACATATTTATATAGTTATTTATAATAAAATAACATCTGACGATATCAAACCTATAAATAGAAGCCTATCATATCCTCGCTATTTTGTAGTTTTAACAATTTGACAATTACACGAGAGCGGTGGTCAACATAAAGAGATATGGGAAAGTATTTAAACGTTTCAGATAGAAGTTATCATACACAACCGCTACTTTTGTCACAGGACAACGGAGCTGATGATGATGCATAATTATATTGAACGTTTGTTTGACACTTCGTCAGTGTCTACTAATAATGAAATGTTGATGCATGTTATATATATATGATTTTAAAAAATCACGTTTTTAACCACCAAATTGTAAAAGGAGAGGATTCAACAGTGGGAGCTGAATACTCCAACCCTACCAGCTAATTTAATGAACCTGTAACTGTAAATAGCTATATATATAGCAACCAGAAGTCTAATTAGTACGCGTGTGTACAGCATACATTAGAAGAAAAGAATATCATACATCACCACAAACTACTAGTTAGCTTCCAACGATGTCATCTGAGCGAAACTGAGCGAATATATGAACTCTTCGTGTTCTAATCAATGTGATGAGTACTACTACTTTCACGTTACGTCATTTTCCTAATTAAACTTTTCGAAAATTACTTTCCCTTGCTTTGTTTTAAGTCACCTTATGAAATTTGTCACACAGATGAAGAATTTTCTAGCTCTGCGTTTGGTCATTTTCATATAATGACCCGTTTCATAGAAAACTAACCATAATCAGAGACGTATTGTCTCTGCCATAATGAGTTAATCGGTTAAAATATTTTTTACGACAAAACTTTAACATCTATTAATGTCTATGAACTAACAGTGAAAATCAACGGAATTATTTGAAAAATTCTGATTTTCCGTTTGGTATTATGAAGAAGATAATACCTACTTATAATTAATAATCAATTAATTTGAAAGGGTAAAACATCCCCTTTACAATTTTTGTCGTAAGAAGCTTCCTTCTTTCTTTAACGTATATTTTCATAAGAATAACACTAACAGAATATTTCGGCACATTCAATGTAGTATAAGTTGTATAAGTTACGCGGAAAAATGCGAGGCTAACCCCAGGTATGGTAAAAATTTAAGTCACAGGAAACGACTAATGTCCGCGCATGCGTGTTAGTTGAAAATCATGGCTGTCATACCGGCGATACCAGGCAGGCAATAGCCTACGATAGATATAAGATAGCGAGAGATATGTTCGTGTAGAAACCAAACATTTCAAACGGAGAGATACTTTGGATTAAACTGTATGAACTCTTAGGGTAAGTAGAAATTTTGAAACGTTTTTAGTTGAATTTAACGAAAAACAAATTGTCTATTTTCACTATCGCTAAAGCACAGCGATTGATTTTTTGGTTTTCTTTCAATCATCTGCATACAGCTGAATGATTCAGCGTCTGACATATGACAAAGCTGAGTGCCCTACGGGACAAACTCTTCGATCGGCTGTCTGAGTAATAGTGTAGTATCCCGAGACCAAGAATTATTTGTTAAAAATTAAAACTGAATGGAACTTTAACCCTATACACACGATAAGGTCATAGCAAACTTCTATTTTCATTTCATATCGCGACATGTTTTGTGAATTTATGAATACCACACATTTATTTAACAAAATGTTAAATTATATTAATAAAATCATCTGTTTCTTTAAGAAAGGTTAACTGCTTATTACGGACGTGTGTGTCTAATAATATTGCTCTCATGATAAAAAGAACACACTTGTTTGCACTGCAATGAGCTCGGGTATTTGACAACTGTTCTGTTCACGAGCCGAGACCGCCTATAGGCCGTTTCAGAAAAGCCCAGGTTGTGTATTGTACTACAGATATCGAACCGTCAAATATGTCTATGACTAACATGAAACGGTAATATATTATTTAAAGAGCAGACACATTGACAAACACCAATGCATTTTTATTTTATTGGCACTGTCCTTTTATGGGCACATACTATTATCGATACAAAAGACCATTGTAATACACATGTATATGTTACAGTGTAGATATATCTGATATATTGTATGGGTCAAAGAAGTAATATAGACCGTAAAATCCCATATAATGTACATAGATGTATACTGTAATACATTGTACAGTACAGAATGTGAGTGCTATTAGATATGTTAGTTAAAGTGTTAGTACATGATGTAATGTTGATATGTGCCACAGTTTAATAAGCAACAAAAATTAATTCTAAGTAGAATTGGTATATGTTGATTTTGTTTTAATTTTAATTAATAAAATTAGTTTCCTACCTTTACCCTTTAGCATGTACAGAAGTAAATGAAGGGTGTGTGTGTGTGTGTGTGTGTGTGTGTGTGTGTGTTGAAATATCAATAAAAGTTACAATCAACTACCAGATAATAAAACGTTTTTGCCTTGAAATGAAGTATTATTAATCAAATTTTATATCTATATGTACTTCCTAATTATTTAATGTGAATGTGTTTACATGCTACACTAATATTGTTATTAGCTGTTCAGTTTCATACTGTACTAAACTTGAGGTCATTGGTTAGCTAGGCCATCATAAAAAAAAAGTTTCTTTACAGTTTTCCAGTAAACTTACTGAAAATGGCACCTATTCACACTTAAATGTTAGTAAAAAAAATCTTGATGGAAATCTTTGACACTTGGAGTTTTTATAAAGAGATAAGATATTTCTAAAAAAATAATCCTTTTTTACCAACCCACTGAAAAAATTTGTGTAGAGAAACTGAAACCAAATAAACTTTTAAGGATGGCCTTGTGGATGTGATTCAGATGAACTTGATGACATTTCATCTAAGTATGTGTAGCATAGATGTACATCATGTTATCATCTGAATTTCCATGTAGAAAAAACAATTTTAAATATTTAGTGAATTTGTATGTCAATTTAAGTTACTATGTAACTATATTTGAGCAATAAAAGTATTGAATTGAATTTTATTGATAGAAGTAATAGTTGAAATCTCTTATAGCTATAAACTGAAAGCTTTAACAAATTATATACTGACTCAAAATTCCAGAATATTTATGATAATTTGAGTGAATTCCTGTGGTTTTGCTACGAGGTGTACTGAAAAATGTTGTATATATTATGTACACTGCGTAGCATGGTGTTAAGAATGAGCATCTGATGCAGATGACTGACACTAACAATATACATCGCTGTGATCAGTACAGTGTAATAATTATCAATCATATACAGAAGTAAGTCTTATTTAGAAAAGTTATTAACTTATCTATATATAATTTTCTGGAACAGAGCCACAATTAAGTGATATATGCCTTTGCATATGTATTAAGGATCCTTGTCCAACTGCACTGTAGTTTTACGTAATACAGTAATTACTACTAATATCTCCATAATATTCTTATGGATATGCCTATAGTTTAAAGCTTGGCCAGGAGTCTTCCCTTGACTATAAGAAGCTCAATCGATTAAAGCAACAGTATAACTGTCTGATGTCACAGGGTTTGAATCCCGATCTTAAATAAGTCCCACAGATGTTTTACTGTCAGAATACTGTTGGTGATGATATTTTGTTTATTCTATTTGTATTTTCTTTCATTAAGATGCTGTAAGGTATATATGGTTTTCTTATCGAAAATAATTCATCAAAACTATAGTCAAGCTAATAAACACAGTGTCAATGCGTAGTGACAGTTTTTGGGAGTGGTTTAAAAGGGATCCTTAAATATTGAATGAGTTTCCAAGAATGTTGAAGACCTGTTTTACCTGGTCACCAACTTATTCCTAGGACTTTTCACCTATTCTGCCACACCCATCTTTTTCTTAGACATCTGCCTATTCAGCCACACCCATCTATTCCTAAGACTTTCTACCTGTTCTGCCCCATCCATCTATTCCTGAGACATCCACCTATTCAGCCACACCCATCTTTTCCTAAGACTTTCTACCTGTTCTGCCCCATCCACCTATTCCTAGGCATGACCTCTTCAGCCACACCCATGTGTTCCTGAGACATCAAACATACAACTTCTACACGCACAATGTTCACGATAGAATATATGAAAAATCAAATTTAAATAAGCTAGGGCATATGGAGATCAAGAGTAAGTGTACAAAATAATTAAGTATGTCTGCTTTCTATGTAGAATCTATGTTATACTTGAATTGTTGATAACATTCTGAATACGCTCATTGTCATTGCAAAGATTTGTAAAAAGTATGTTTAAGTGGGCACAAAACTTCTATATCAGTTGGTTACAGGAAACATGAATATTTCTTTTTAACAAGCTTATCACAAAAATCCAGACTATCCTTAAAATCTACCAAGTGTGCAGACTTTCGAATGAGGAAATAGAAGTGATAAACGGCTATATATACATTAATAAGACTGCTGTAGCGTTGCAGCCCATAGAATACGTAAATAACTCTATGACCTTCAGATTAGAATGCCTCTGTCGACAGGAGATACTTAATAAAAACCTACTTAGTCTACAGTTGAATATTGAATACATCTGTTTGTCTGTATTAACAATTAAACCTGCTGTAGGGTTGTATAGGTGCTCTCTTGTGAAGAGTGGTCGTCATGTGACATTGTTTTGAATGAGATTGTGGAACAAATGTTTTAAAGACCTCAGATCTTACCAAATTTATTTTAAAACTGCCTGGTGTGCAATATATGTTGATATAGGTCATGTGCAATACAGACAAAACATTGTTATGTCACTCAAGTGGTTGATATTTATTGATAATTTCATTTACATCGTTTCAATTTTAGTAGATTTCTGATTCCTTAGACTCAGCACTAGAACATTTATAAGGCAGTGTTGAAGAATTTCAAAAACTATGACACATTTTGATAAACATTTTCTGTTTTAATATTCTAAAATGAGCACCTCAAAATCTTTGGGTTGAGTACAATGTAGCTATAGGCAGTGGTACTAGTAGCCTGAATTAGATTAATTTGGTCACTTTTAGAATATGGAAGAAACCTGTAAATAACTTAATTTGTATTGCGCATTTTACTGAGTTTTCTTGCTAAACTATTTAACATGTTTAATTTGACCACAGGGCAAGCAGTTTTTTGCAAATGATTTTACAAATATTTAGCCAAATAGAAAATATATAGCTGTTAAGATATCATATACCTACTTCTATTTTCATTGCAACTCTTGATTATTTTTAAACAAGAACTTCTAAAGTCAGAATTTTAAAATGCTCCTTTGACATAATGTAAAAACTTTAAAAAAACAAAAAAAACCCATAAAAATAACCATGTAGAGATACATACCTCCCAACACTGTTGTCTAAATTTTTGTCTAGATGTAGCACTGAAGAGACAGAATTTCATTCTAGACCAATAATAATTAAAAAAGTAGTGATAGATGAAAGGGAGAATACTGTGAGTCAAAGAACTGAGTGGAACTCTCCTTTGTGACTTATGATAACTGATACAGTGGTCCCCTCTATTTACCTTAATGGGAGATATTTGTACTTCAGCTTCACTGTTGATCCCCTGATTTCACAAAGGGTAATTCTTGCAATAAGCACACCTGCATACACAAGTTAAAAGTTTCCCCTGAATTTATTTATTTAAACAAAATTCATTTGTAGAAACATGTCAATGAATACATGTCGTAACACAACATAGCGATGCCTAATAAGACCCTGTACATGTAGACAAAACTAAGTATTTCTGGTTTAGTTTCCTTCTTCCCCATCTCTTTCCCCTCCCTCTCCCCTCTTCCCCATGCATCCCCCCCATAAGTGATACATACATAGTAACTTTACCCAGGTGTTAACACAATACAGGAAACACTTGACTATTTGGAGCACCTGGGCTAAACAATTACAACGGTTGGATAACCAGGGTAATTCTGTACCTGCATTACAATTTGCACATCACTGAAACCTAAACAGGCATATGCCATGAGACTTCAGACAAGAAAGAACACTTAAAAGTTAGAAATAGAGTATACTTCTACTGGGCAGGAACCATTCATAAACAGACAATTAACAGGAAAACTCCATTATATACGGCCAACAAGGAAGGAAGACAGATATTAACAATTTAAATCAGACTTGTTAACTTGAACTTCGCTGGAAGATATATGTAATTTGGTCGAGTTGTAGTTAAAAGGATTGCACTGTAATTTCATTCGAATATTGTTTACATTTTGTTAAACATTTGTGTTTGAATTTGCTGGTAAATAGAGATATTGTGCATTCCAAGTGTTTGCCTTGAAATTAAATTCCACGTTTCATTCATCATTATGCATGAGAGCTTCGATAGGATCTCTGTATG